GTTTTCATTTTTTGTGAAATTCGCGATGAAAATAGTGAACGAAAGTTTATATGCGAATATTTTCTGCTCTCCCACCCTTTACAGACATTCCTGTTGACAGATACAGATTGTTTTTATGCACAGCAGGAAGCGCAAAAAGCCAAAAATCTCTAGAAATCTTGTCTTCTGGCACATAAAACTGTCTCACACGTCGATTCACGCTCTGGTGTTTATTTGTGTGCCTTCAGTCTGAATTCTATCAAGTGGCATTGCTCTCCCACTAACTTCTCCATAAAACGAGCCATCAGATTTATTTCACAAAAAATAACAAAATTGTTCAAGAAGTCAAACTTGATTTTTGAATTTTTCATTTATTTCGTTCCGTCTATTTTCATTTTCTCTAACTGCTTGACGAACATTACGTGAAGAATTCAAGTTAAGATTTCGGTCTCCATTCCCATTGGAAGACAAGACAAAATGGCAAACGTAAAGCCGCTTCTAGAGAATTCTATCCTTTCCAGAACATCATCCTCATAAACACCATGATAGACAGCTACACGAATGTTCGGCACGATTTCAGTATGCCTTATACGGCGCGCACAAGAAACCTGAAGTAACCTCAATTGAGCAAAAATAATCGGGCATGGCGCATGAAACGGCAAGAATTGTCGTTTCATCTCAAAGAAGACTTCGAATTGATGTGAGAAAGAAATCAAAACCAAACAAGCAATGACTAGCACAAAATGAACTGGAAACAGAAATGAGCGCGAGCAGCTTAGTAACGGTGGAATAAGAATGAAGAAAGCGTAGACGATCAAACAATTTAGAAAATACTCGAACTGAACAGATAGCGCGAGACGCATTCGATTCGACCTATCCTCGTTTTCCAAAGAGATTTATTCGTCTTCAAAAGCTGCACTATATTCCTAAGGGTATGGGTGTGGGTGTGGTTATAGTGCTTCTCATATCAGACAGCCACAGCCACACCCCTCACCTACAGTCACACCCCACACCCACACCCACACCCTATGATGGAACATCGAAGTCAATGAAAAAAGAAGATGTAATAAAATTATTTCAGAGGTCATTGATAAACGGCCTTCGTTATAAGCATATGGTTTGCGATGGTGATGGATCAGCATGTGAAGCAATTAAATATTACTACATTCAACATCATCAACAACAGCAACATACATCTTTAGAAAAAGGTAAACCAATTTCGATGAATGAAGATAATAATATGAATTAAAATAAATCACTAGGTACTGAAGGCGAAGAACTTGAAACTGGTGGTGAAGAACCTGAATCTGATGGTGAACAATTTGAAGGTTAACCAATCTGAAGGCGAAGAACGTGAGGGTGGTGATATGTTCAACAAATTAATAGTAATCAAGGAAGATTGTATAAATCATGTCAGTAAAAGGGTTGTGAATTACTTAACTGAACTTAAAAGGGAAAAAACTCGAAAAATTTCGGTAACTACATCAAGTTTTACATCATCAACTACCAAGAAAAAAGTTGCTGCGCGACAACTACTCGCCGACAACAAACCATGGGGAGCTGGAGCTGGTCGCGTGACCAATCAAATGATGAAAAAGCTTTCAAATAACTATGGTCTTGCAATACGACAAGGCAGCATGTTGTCATTGGGTAAGAATTACACCAAATAGTGTCAACAAATGAGAATCTTTTGCAAAAAATTGTCTAAATATCTATTTGTTTATATGTATTAGGTAAAGAAATTAGTGATGCATTACGTATCATACAAAGACATTGTCGTGCAGCATTTTATCACTACTTGAAGACCACCGATAATGACGAAGAAGAGCAACGCAAATATTGCTCCAAAAACAAGCGCTACCTGATCTTTTTATCATCAAATGAAATTACAATCAATTAATAACAACATCAGCATTAAGAAGCAAAACAAAAATCAAAATTATCTTGATCCAATCTTCCGTGAAGTTTTGAAACCTATGATTGTGAAATTAACAGCCAAACAACTTTTACGTCGTTGCTTACGCGAAATTACTCAAAATTCAAATGAATCGTTGAATTCGGTTGTTTGGTAAATATATATATTAATTTTTTCTTCAACTTTTCTATGTACGTTAACTATTTCTCTTTTTTTGTTACAGGAGTATATTAACTCAATCGAAAAATCATGGATTTCGTGCTGTACGTGGTTCTGCTGCTCTAGTAGCAATGTATTTTAATTCAGGCAGCAACATTTTATTCGATTATTTTAAGCAATATGGAATAAAAATTAGTGAAACATTATTCAAACATTTATTCGAAATGGATAAAAAAAGAGCTATTAATTCTAAAACTAACGATAAACAACGACAAAATCGAATAAAGAAAAACACTTTTGATCGACAAAATTCAATCGAAGCCACATCAGATGTAGTCGACTACAATCCAGGTGGTTTTAATTACTGAAACACTTGTTTTTTCAAATTCGAAATAAAATTTCATTTTGTCTCATAGCAAATTTTGTTACTTAAATACAATTCTGTACACTAATTATCACTCAGATACATCTCAAAGACCTAAGTTTAGCTTATGCAATAATGTTTTACATGCACAATTCTATTCAGAAGCTATTTTGACAAAATCCTACAACTACAGCATTTTCCCCAGTAATCATATATGTTTCTTTTAACAAAACAAAGGATAATCGATTTTCCTGACATTTCAAAATCTTACTATTGAACAACTATAGAAAATAATAAGCTCTTAACGAAAACTGGCTTCAAAATTGAAAATGCAACTATAGTTTTTGAAAATTCTCTAAAAGAATACAAAATAATTGATGAAAGCATGCCATAATATGGACACATATTTGCCGGCTCAATTCCATTGTGCATAGTATAGAATTTTCCTGTAGGTTAAATTATGGTTTTATTGCTTATTAAGTTCTTTATTAAACGACATATAATACATAGTTACTTACTTTTAATGGAGTCAAAAAATATGCCAAAAAAAAATTGATATAAAAAGTCATTTCTTTCATATTTTTCCATTCTCATATACATTTTATATGGGGTGCCTTTCTTTCAATGTACATACAAAAGAAAAATCTGTTCCACTTATCGTAAGTGCCGTAGCACTTGAGAATGACTCTCTAAGAGAGCTGGACAACTACGAGTACGAATATTTGTACTTGAACAACAGTACTCGTCCTTGGTTTGGGA